TGATATCCTATCTACAAACACCATTAGAACAAATCATTCTAGTCATTAAGAGAATGTAACTACATATCTATCCTAGCCACTTTGAATACACAGATACAAAATGGACATTCACCTGTATACCCTTTTTTGGTTAAGTTCCATTATTTGAATATTATAGATGTGTAAACTCAGTAAAATATTCTAAAAGAGTCTAGTAGCCCATAATAGTATTGGGTCTTCTGCTTGACTGGCAATGTCAGAAATTGTTGACTTGAGTCCCCTACAGCTCATCATAAGATACAGGGTATCTCTAGGTTAGAGATGAAATCTCTAAGGTAGAGATTTCATCCACACAATGGGACATCTAGACACCTGCCTGGAGCAGGCAAGAGAAGAGGCCTAGCCTGGAGAGTGGCCTGCAGAGCTGCACCTCCACTCTCACTGTCTATGGCTGAGTCCTGCCCCAGATACCACCAAGAATGTGCAGTACATTCCCTAAGCTAAAGCCAATTAGTGTAATAGGCAGCTATCACCAGCCAAGGATCACAGGCGCCTGGAAGGCCCGCACAGCCTGGGGCTCAGTTAGGATCCCCAAGGGAATCCCCGCCTTAACCCAAGCCCTGCTCTCATCACCATGCTCACTACACAACAGTATAGGTGCTGCCCCATCTTCCCCGACTACCTTCATCCTCTATCTTAATGTTTCTGCTCTGGACCCTCCCAGTCATGGGCTGAATCATATGGAACCATGAGACAAACTACACCTCCCCTGCTTTAAACTGTTGGGGTCAAGAATGGTCTCAGAGAGTCACCTAGAGAGAAAATATTCTCTCAGGCTTTCACAGAAAGCAAACTGATCAAGCAATGGCTGTGACTTATCCACATGGCTGACATTCACAAGGGATCTGCAAACTGTGGTACAGGGTTTCAGGATAAATCCTGAGGGTATTTGACTGACCTTATCAGATACAAAAGCTACATTTCTTGTTATATAGGTCTTGCTTTATCTTGGTCTTAACCATCTAGCAGAAAAGTATAAAAACAAGGCATAAAAAGTAAATTCATATTAATATGCTGAGCTGTAAAAGGCCCAAGTCAACAACTTCTGACATTGTCAGTCCTACTAATAACCCGCTACTATTATGGAATATTGATCTATATTGGATTATTTCATTAAATTCATGCACCTACAATATTTAAATGGCAATGGAATACCCTCCTCTGACAAACTAAATAAAAAAAGAAAGACATAAATGAAGGACCATTTTGTAGTGAGGAAAAACATATATTAGTTAGGATAGATATACAGCTACTTTCTCTTAATTCAATGAGAAGAAAGATTTGTACTAACAATATTTGGACAGAATATCATGTCTGCATCTGGTACTATGAATAACTACTACAAAGACAACAATATGCAATGTATTAATTATTGTAACTGTCCTATTAACGTGTTTTGAAACTGTCTTATTGCTATTTGTTTCTTAATAAAAATAATTTAAAAAACAAAAGCAAGTCTCAGAGATGGGAAAACTAACACACTCAACCTGAATGTCCCTGCAAGACACCGGCCTTGGAGTTCTGCCCCTTCCTCTGTGGGATTTAGGACAGGTGCTCAGCAAAGAGTTCTGCTGTATGGTAGCGTTGGGCTTCCCCAGGTCAAAACAGAAGAGATCTCCAGGTTTCAACAGGACACACTCAATTGATGCTGAGGTCCTTCTCCATGGAGCCCACATGTGCATGGAGAACTGCAGTAGTGTAAACACTAATGATAATAATGACGTTGATAGTGATGTGGATGTGAACACACCACTGAGTTTCAGACCCAGAAACATCCACTTGTCAATGATATTGTTATTATTGGAGAGAGGGACACAAATGTTTTGATCTCAAAATATAAAGACAAGTATATAAGTGCTATATGAGGTGGCACAATGTTTTCTACACTCCTAGAAATTTTATAGAAGCTGTTAGCTTTTTCTGTAGGCTCCATTTTACTAGGGAAACACAACAGAGAAAGCCTTACACTCCCAATTCAGTGATGGGAGCTGAGTCTGCTCCACTTCTCTGCACATTAAAAAAATCCCACCTCACTGTGCTGCACGGGGCAGGTCAGGGTAAGCATATGCATATAGTAACAGAATGAGGCTGGACTCTGTCCATAGTCTCTCAGGTGACAGCAGTTTGAGAGTCACCTGAAAGTGATTAGTCTCTGTTATGAGTCTCTCTTACCAGCAGGGGACAGCAGAGCTACAGCCAGAAAGTAGAGCTGCCCAGAGGAAGCTCAAATAAAGCTTCTCTTCTGGATGTTTAAGAACTAAAGTTTGCAGACCAAAAATTAGAGAGCTAGATGGGCTAAAAGAGATGGGACATAAGAGAACCTGTACTGTAACATTCTGTAACTCAGTGGTGTCCCAAATTTTCTGATCAAGATGATGGGACCACAAGGGAAAGTGATCGATGATGTAGAGTGTGCCTACATAGATTCACCTAGAGAGAAAAAAATTCTCTCAGGCTTTCACAGAGAGCAAACTGGTCAAGCAAAGGCCATGACTCATCCAGATGGCTGATACTGACAAAAGTCAAGGTGCTGACTTTTGACAAGGTGCTGTACATAGTTCCAGGGTAAATCCTGAGGGGATTTGACTGACTTGTCAGATAGCAAAAGTTAGATTTTTTGTTATGTAGGTCTTGCTTTAACCTGGTCTTAACCATCCAGCAGAAAAGTGTAACCAAGTGGTGTAATAAGTAAAGTTATATTACTATGTTGAGCTGTAAAAGGCTCAAGTCAACAACTTCTGACAATTGCCAGTTGTGCTGATAACTCACTACTATTATGATCTATTGGACTATGTTGGGTTGTTTTGCTGAATTCAAGTATTTGGACAATCTTTGGACTGTCTACAAGTATGAAAAGGTCCTTTAAAGACTTCTCCAAATACAGCTTCTCTAACTGCAATGGAACACCCATCTCTGACACAACAAAACAAAAAGGGGATATGTTGGGAGCCATAGAAACTAGGAAATTGATCAAATGTGTGTAGGTAGGACTAGGCCTCAGTGTCTAAAGCAAACAAGCTACCTCAATCCTGAGATAAATATCCTCTCTGGTTAAAGTCAGTTATTGTCACTAGGCCACCTTGTATTACATGTCACTAACTTTGCAAAAGTACAAAAAAGACCATTTTGTTGTGGAAAAAAGTAGATTACTAAAAATAAATAAATAAAGACTATGTCTGTGGGTCAATGGGAGTCCAAAGGTTGGCCCTTGGATTAGAAGTCAGGGCGGGCACTTGTCACCATGGTCTGAGGATCAGGCTCACACACTGTCATCCGAGTATACAGACAGGAAACAGAAATGAGGCTGATGCCAGCACTCTAGGAGGGAGTTGAGTGTGAGTGCAAAGTACTCCCAGGTGTCCTTCACCCAGCGTGGCTGCCTGGGCCCCCTGAACCTCTAGGATACTGTTTCTCACTGTCTAGTAGTGGCCCTGGAGCTCGTGCCTCTGCTTGGTGCCCTTCAAGAACTCCCTGCTCACTCCTGCCTGACCCTCCTCTTTCCATCTCTAGGCACACCAGCTGTGGCACTGCAGCTCTAGTGCTCAGATGAAGTCTCAGGTCAGGTGGAAGAAGGGACACTTCAGACCTTGTCCCTGCATGGGGCATTGACAGACTAACTGAGGAAAATCTACAGTGATGGTAGATTCTCACCTGTTGAGTCACAGCTGTGACCTGAGTGCCACCCTTGGTTCCATGGCAGGACACTCCTGGATACAAGGGTCCATGACCACACACCTTCCTGCTCGGCCGTGTGTGGCCACAACCCTGGAGAGGTCAGCAGAGACCACAAACCAGAAATATGTTTCTAAGCTGGGTATATTTTCTGATATTCAACAAATATCAGAAATCTGATATTAAAAAAATCATGCTAAATACATAAGCTCCAATTCTATTACCTCAGACACAATACCCCACACACCTAGGACTCAAAAGGAGACACCTACTTTGGGTCACAGTTTCAGGGGATTCAGTCCACAGCCAGCTGGCTCCATGATGGAAAAATCATGGCAGAAGGGAGGGGCAAGGCAAAGACATTTACTCAGGGTGGCAAGAAAGTAAAGCACTGATCAGCAGCGCCAGAGAGGCAGCAACTAGAAGCCGTATGTGGTACCAGGGTAACTCCTCCATGACACACCTTGTCATACCCAAAGTGTGATTTACAAAATCTCTAGGTACATCTCAATCCATCAAGTAGACAAGATGTAAGCTCGACCACCACACCAGTTCCATTCCTTATCTCCTTTGGGCAGGAGGAAGTAATAAAAGGAAAGAAACACAGACTGTGAAAAGAGAGCATAAATTTTGAAAATTTGGATGAATCTACAAAAGTAGACTTTTGTTTTGTTTTGTTTGAATTAGGTTCTTGCTAAATTGCTCTGGCTGGTCTCAAACTTACAAACCTCCTGTCTCAGGCTCCCAGAGTGCAGGGACTACAGAAATGTACCATCAGTTCTCAAGGAATAATATCATGTGTGAAAGGATTTTAAAAAGTACCCTTAACAACCAGGGCCTCTTTCCAATGAGATTATAAACGAGACCAAAGTGCATCTAGGGGACCAGAGATTTCAGGAAGAGGAAGGTAAAGTGAGTCAGGTGCTATGTCCCATCTGTCAGAAGAACCTAGGTCACAGCCCTACTGAGCTTCATCCAGCACACACCACAGGCCAAGAGGGTTGAGATGGGGTTCCTGGGATCAAACTATGAGCACTAACTAGGTCTGTGGATCTTGGAGGACAAAACTGATATTTCTTCTAAAGAAGTAGCTGGAAGAAATGGGACTCCACCCCTGACTCCTCATTCTGCTATTCTGACCCCCATGGCAGACAGGAAAGCTCCCTGAGAGTCCTCAGCACTGAGCCCCAGGGGTGGAGTCACTTTGCATAACCACCAAACACTGGCCCCAAGGGACCCGGGGGAATAAGAGAGGCCTGGGGTGGCCCAGCTTGCTGCAGACCTCAGGACCCAGAGCTCTGGAATTTCTCCATCATGTCTTGGAATCACCTCCTGCTTCTGCTCTTTTCTCTGTGCACAGGTGACCTGCCCAGGCCTGGTCCCCAAGTTCTGCCACCCCTGGGGCCTGAGCCACACTGACCCCAAACTATGAGTTCAGCCCAGGCATAGTCTGTGGATGGGATCAAGGAATGTGTCATTACTCCAAAGTCCCCCTCTCTTCTCTCCTGTAGGTGCCATGGCCTCCTATGTCCTGACACAACCACCTTCAGTGTCGGTGGCCCTGGGAGAGACAGCCACCATCACCTGCTCTGGAGAGGCACTGCCAAAAAGATATGCATATTGGTTCCAGCAACAGCAGCCAGGACAGACTCCTGTGCGAATAATATACAAAGATAAGGAGCGGCCCTCAGGGATCTCTGAGAGATTCTCTGGCTCCAGCTCAGGGACAACAGCCACCCTGACCATCAGCAGCGCCCAGGCCGAGGATGAGGCTGATTATTATTGTCTGTCATGGAATATTAATGGTACTGAAACCACAGTGATACAAATAGATAAGGAAGTGAGACAGAAACCTTTCCTGTCTGTGTCACTCTTCCTCCCGCCTTAGGAGGAGCGAAGACAAAGCCGTGCCCAGCAGTCCTGGTCCAGCTCACCCAGATCTGATGTTCCCAGCCTGCCCTTCCTCTCATCCCACAAGGCAGGCAGCACAGAGGGAGCATGAGTTGTGGATTTAGGGCTGATAGGACCAGGCTGTCCTGGTGTTTTCTGGGCTCTGGAGTGAGACAGAAATGGAGACCTAAGAGGAAGGAAAGTCAGAGGGCATTTTACTATATTCACCAGTGAAATGAAGACCAGGCCAGAGTCTCAGAAAACAGTTCTCTTAATTCATCTTCCTGTGTGCTGGAGTCATAGATCCATGCCTCCACATCAAGCAAAAATAAGTGAATTTTTCTACAGAGATCATGAAGAAAAAAGGTTGATTAGGAGCAAAATTACATTCAATCATGATAAGTAGGCATTCTCTGCCAAGCACTATCTTTCTTACCCACAGGGTTGATCTTATTCATGAAGGTTCATTCTGTCCAGGATGTTCCTAACAAGATTCTTCCAGTAGCAAATCAAAACACGCAAGCAAAGGTGTGAAAATGGGCCAGCTCCAAGGCCCAGGAAGCCCTACAGGAGCTTCTGAGGTGGGCAGGGGGGAAAGGGGTGGAAGCACGGGGAGGGAAAGGCAGGGAGGAGCTGATGGGGCCACACTCACAGGAGGTCAGAGTAAATACATCTGTGCCATGTGGCTCTCTTCTTATTTTTTAATTTTATTTATTTATTTACTTTTGTCTTTTTGAGATAGGGTCTTACTATGCAATTAGGGATGGCCTAGAACTCACTTTACAGCTGAGGCTGGCCTCAAACTTGCAGTAATCCTCCTGCCTCAGCTATTTCTGTTTTTTCTTTCTTTCTTTCTTTTAATGTATTTGGTACAGGCTCTGCAGGATCTCACTACATAGATCTCACTCATAGTGATCCTCCTATTTTCAGCCTTCCAGGTTCTGGGACTACAGGCCCACACCACCACATTCAGCCTCAACTGCTTCTCAGCGTGCTCCAGCGGCAGGGCCGGCACTGCACTCCAGGGATCAAAACCCGGTCCCTGCCAGCTATTGCTTTATACTAGACTCCTAAGAGTAGACGGTGCTTTCTTTGTGTGCGTCATGGCCAAAGGCGTTGCACAATGTTTCTGTTCACAGCTCTCGGTCATGCGAAGGGAAGTCAGCTTCCCTGCATCTCACGAATACCCATTCTTAGAAGTAGTACATTGTTTAGGCAACAAATACTTTCTTTTTATTAACATTAAAAGGCTTCTGGCCCTGCAGGCATAATTGTCCAAAATCCAAATCCTTGAGTCTTAGAAAGAGAATGTTGAGAACTAAACTGCGTTATGTACAGGTCCCCACTTCCCACGAGAACATTAACATTAACTACACAAGTGTGCTACTAAACTTAACAATGAATAGATATTGATTATTACTTTTCAGGAGATGAGCCTGACATGAGGAGCAAAACCAGACAGCTGAATATCACCAGTGCCACCAGAAACACAGTCTCCTTTGGTATCTGCCAGGGAGGGGACAGCAGAGATGTCCTTATCATGGCCACAGGAATCAGGAAGGACAATTCACCAGAACAAGAAAGAGAAGACTTTTGGAAGAGAGGGGCACGGGATGCCCAGATGAGGGAAACAGGGGACATGGGTTGGACGGAAGGAGCAGGAAGGGACCCTGTGCCAGGGCTCTGATGTGGATCTTCTGGAGGGAATCCTGGCCCACTCGCTGCTTGTCTAGGGACATTGAGAGAAGCATTCAGCCTCCCAGGAACGGCTCCCTCCTCAGTAGACAGAAGAGGACATTGTGCTCAAGGCTAAGCTTGCTGCAGCATTGTTAAGAACGTGTGCTTATAGAGAACAAACTGGCCAAGCAATGACCGTGACTCATCCACATGGCTGACACTGACAAAAGATCTACAAACTG